GTGAGACCACATAGTCATCCTAAGATCCTGAACAGCCCACCATAGACCCCACACAGCTACCTGAGAGTTTGCAAAGCCCGCCATAGACCCTGCACAACCCACCTGAGAGTCTGCACAGCCCACTTGAGAGTCCGTACAGTCCAGCAAAGACCTCGCACAGCCAATCTGCGAGTCTGCACAGCCAATCTGCGAGTCTGCACAGCCAACCTGAGAGTCTGTACAGCCCAGCATAGACCATGCATAGCCCACCTGAGAGTCTGTACAGCCCAACATAGACCATGCATAGCCGACCTGAGAGTCTGCACAAACCAGCATAGACCCTGCACAGCCACCTGAGAGTCCACACAGCCGACCACAGACCCCACACAGTCAATAATTCCTCTCTGGTTGATCTGTGTACATTACAAGGATTTTAACAAACTTTGAAGCATGTACCTACCTGTTTCTGTTTTGAAGAAAAAGCTGTTTGTTGCAGAATGTCCTTTCCAAACTGATTCCTGAATGGGAGAGTCTGGGTTCATTATAGTCAGCTGGTGGGCTTCCTGAGTTATAAAATGGAAATGTGCAGGGTCGGTATCCCTTTAGTAGTAATTAACCCTTAGGGAGTATCTCACCAAAAATGAAATTCCTATTGCAAGGGATGCCAAAAATAAAACTCAGTGCTGAATTCTGTAAATATCAATCAGCCGATCACAGATGCAGGAAGGGATATTTCGGGGGGCATTATGCACACCAACTGAGAATGCCTCCAGGTTGCCATATAGTATTGAATTTTTCTGAGAGATGCAGAACATTGCAGTAGCTACAGTTTCAATTGGAAAGGTAAGTTGTCATAACATTAATTTGCAAAATGGCTTGTGGGACAATTAAACATGTTATATTAATTCTGTAAATATTTTTTTTTTTTATTGAAAAATGTGGAGTTACCCTTTAGACCCCATTCACACCTAGCGACATTCCTTTATCTCCGGATCCGCACGGCCGGGATAGCGCGACTTTCGGGCGACGTTCCAGCGACGATCCAGCGACGGTAGCGCGACCTTCCCCGTCGGGCTCCATAGAAAAAAAGGAAAATCGCGCAAAATCCGCCGAAAAAAGGGTCCGGTAGAAGCGACTTGCGACCGCGACGAGCGACGCGCGACATGGAGTTAAGACAGCTCCATTGAATAACATTGGCCGGCGACTTCTCGCGATATCGCGCGGCAAAAATGCGCGATATCGCGGCGGAAATCGCGCGACAATTCGCTATATGTGAACGGGGCCTTAAAGAGTATCTCTAGACAAAACCTTTTTTTAGCTTTGGATAGAGTGGGGAAGGATTAGAACTCCTGTCAGTTTTTTTTGTCTTGTCACCAAGAAAGAAAGTGAGGAGAAATCCAAAATGTTAGAGCTGTCCCCAGAACAAGAGGTAATTGGAAAATATTTCAATGGGGATGACTGCTCTGGGGACAAATGTCCCCACACCTTGGGAGATTTCTTCTTACTTTGTGTTGTGTCTCTGTCTGCAGGAAGTGAAGGGAAGTTTTCTCAATGGTACACAGACAGCACAAAAAATAAATCCATCAGAGATTTTACCCCTTCCCTACTCTATTCAAAACGAAAAAAAATGTTTTGGCTATAGACTTTAATACAGGACAAAGGGTTCCCAGAGCACTATATGTAATCTAAAGGGATAGCACAGCAGAGCTGCTTGCTTTGCAGCACTGCTTGTTTGATTGAGCCCTCAGACTTAGCTGTCTGATCAAGGATTAGTCACTGGGATGAAGGGTGGATCACTGCTCGGATTCCAATGCAGTAACAACTGGCTTCTTTCATCACGGCTGAGCAATAATTCCTGCTAATGATGTGACATGACTACGCAATATTAATATACAACATTTCATGTTTTCCAAACAAAATATATTTTAAATATTTTTTGCGTGTATAAATAAAATATGTAAAAATCACATTTCCTTGAAATAGAAGTGAAGGCAAATCTCCCACCAGGGACCCGGACAATAATAAAAGCCTGACGCCGGTTCCAACCCTTCCCGACTCGATCCTAAACAAC